AAATTTGTACTACAAACACTAAATTATTAATCTGATTTTTATAAAAAGTGAAAAAAATCTCATGTTTATAATAAAGTTTTTGGATTGCTAAAAGATAAATTGAAAAGCACCTCAAAATTTTAGTAAATGGATTCTACGAATATTTTTTGCCGAGTTTTTACGTATCCTGTGTCCGTAATCTTCACCTTCTTTTTATTAACCTCGGTTGGGTTATTTATAATTTTAACATTGAGGCCACTGGAGCCACCTTAACTGGCAAGGTGTTCCACCGGAGATACTCACACTGTGCCCATGGATTCAGGTAGGATGCGAGGAAAAAGATTTAGAGATGGGTGTGGCAATACACCCCCACACATAGGTGGTGAGTGGGTGGCCCCCGCGACTAGGCCAAGTAGGCTGTCATGGTAACCCAGTATAAAATAAAAAAAAATATGTAAAGGAAAGCGGGAAAGTTGAGCTAACAGTCAACAATAACTCCTTCCGCTTTTCCTGATTCAGATATGTCGAGAGAGAGGTTGTACGACCGAGCCAATATAAGTAACGAAATTTTGAAATCCCCCGGGCACCACGTGCCAACATCCTCTCTAAAGAGTACGCAAAAGGGGAAATGAGAATTGATCCCACTACTAACATTTTAAAATATATTCGTAGCTAACAATAAATTAAAATGACCGACAAGCTTAGTTAAGTTAACAAACAATGGGTCACGACGGACACCTGATTTGTATTTGGACCACAACTAAGCTACTTCAGAGATAAGTGGTTGGACCGCTGTTAACAATTACTCTTTCCGACTATCAACTTGTTTGATTAATGTATCTGGCAACTCTAGCAACTATTATAGTTATTAATGTGTCAAAATTACTATTACTAACCCTATTATTAATATAGCAACGCAGTGAACGATTATTCAGTCAAAAATTTATGTTAATATTTTCATCAGTGCGATCACTACCTCTATATTTCGCATAATCAATACTGTAAAAAGTATGTTCTTTTCCTTTAATAAACTTCTAAGTTTTATAATTTACAATGTACGAAAGCTCGTTATAAGTTGTTAGACAAACTTTGTTTAGGCAGCTATTCGTACCATCTCCATAAATTTGTTTACAAATGTCATCAGTTTTTCATCCCTGTGGAATTTCAAAACACTTTATGGTCCCATTTCTAGTGTCCATTAACAATGATGAAAACTTTAAATCTGTTCACTGCATATTAATTTTCCATGTTATAATTTTGACGTGTTTCCATAGAATTAAATACTTTATAGTTTTACTTATTATAGAACTTTTGCACTCATGCTTAATCACTTGAAGTACTTGTCTAAAATTGCCTCCTAAAATAAATAATTTTCTACGAAATTGAATATTATTATTACATGAATTTTGTAAAGTTTTATACACTTTTTCCAAAGCTTTTTAGGGATCGTTGAAGCTTTGTCCCAAATGATTACATGTACTTCTTTTCATTTTCCATCAGTTTTGTATTGCAAAAAAAAAATTTTAACGTTATTTAAATCTAATGGTAATGGAAATTTTCTATGACTAAAATTCTTTAAGGTAATAAAATTGAAGCAATTCCTGTCCAAACCATGGATATAATTGGTTTTTTTTAAAACCAATTCTCGATTTTTTATTTCTAAACTTTTTCAACATTTTCCTTTTTCAACAAAAAACAAAAAGTTAATATTTTATATAAAAATGTTTTTCCAGAACCTCTTGGACCATCAATTAAACATAATTTTGTATCACTATTAATAATTTCATTAAAAATTGTTTTTCGATCCCTATTTAGTTTAACAAATAAATCCTTAAAATTTGTTTTTAAATCAATAACAATTTTAGTGTCCTCAATATTTTTAGATTTTACTGTTTTACATAGTTCTGGTAATCTATAATCTTTGCATGATTTTTCTTTAAATTTGCAGATTTTATTCAAATGTGATAAAGCATTATTTTGCTTATCGTCTTTAAAATCATCAATAAACGTTTTCTAATAAGATGAGGCCTCTTGAGTCGATCTCGAATCTCGATGCCTGTTTTATTATTCGTAGTTGGTAGCTCCGAAGTAGTCCACTTTTCCTCCCGTTCCAAAATGAGAAGAAAAGTTTCTGCCAGCAGGTTAGTGACAACGTCGCACGGAACCATGACGGATTTCTACTAGTGAGCTTCGAGGGAGTGAGCGGACAATCTTGGGACCGCTCGTGATTGGTCGACCACCATCTGAGGCTCAAGGGGACTTTGGTCATATATATATCCATACATACATATGTATATCGCGACGTATATATATGCTAAATAATGCGTATTCAAGCTCACGCCTTTCCCTATGAGCCTTAAATGGCGGACATTATCACCTCACTCCCTCGATGCTCACTAGATTTCTACTATACTACTGGTCAAGTCATGGCAGGTTGATTGCTTTTAGCATGTGTAACGTAGCCAAATTACATAAGAGATCCTGCTAGCAGGCATTCTGCTACTATTTTAGAACACGCCCTTTGTTTTCTTCAGTGGTTGTGTCCGTTGTGTGTTGTTGTGTTTGCTGCATTACTGGCGCGGTCGTGTCAAAAAATTAAATTGTCCTTTTACCTGTTGTTTATTGTTAGTAGTATTATTAGTAGTATAAAACTAAATATTTATGGCACCTAGTTCCGTCTGGACGTACTTCAGTCTTTTCTCCCATGCGGGCTTGATTGCAAATCAGCTACGGACTCGGCTGTCAGGAAAGTTACTAGAAAGATAGTATTTTTAAGATCATGTGACGACGACTTGTGGTTTAAATGATGTGGTTTTCATGTGATTTTCTAAGCCAAATAACTATGTACCTATAATTTCTGTCTCAAGACTGTTTAAGAAATACTTACTATTATTTTATTCACTAGTTCCTTATTTTTGTCTTGATGCACAATGTGCAGATAATTTATATTATGTTTAAATATTTAAAATATGTTAAAATGTGCTTAAATGTAAATGAATAATGAAATTAAAAAAAAAATGTTTAATCTACGAAAATCAAAGGTGCAATCTGTTTCTATATATTTTGCTTATTTTTTTGATGAGTATTAAACTACTCTTCATGCAATTTATTACTTTCGTACTTTTTTGTATGTATATGTATATGTATATGTATATGTGTACACACACACACACATATATATATATTTCGAATATATTCCAATATTTGGCACGAATATTCGATTTCATTCGAATATGAAGTGTATTATATCAAATATTCGAAAATCGATTTCCAATTTGACATCCCTACACCACTTGGCTACGAACGTTGGAAGCAGCACCACCGTTTTTGCATTTATGTAGCGAAAAAGGACCAATTGAACGAAACTCCGAGACATATGTCTTGTCTTTTATGCCAACAGTGATGAAAAAAAAGTTTGGCTAGGATTAATTGGCATTTTATTTGTTTTTAAATTACTGAGTTAATTTACATGAATTTTAAATCGATAAAATTTGTTATTGGGTTGCTACGACGGCCTCAAAGCTGGTCATCAGGGACACCTACTTGCCACCTATATTTGGGGGTGGATTGTTACACTCACTATCAAAACATCACTTTTTACGTATTTTTACCTGTAAAATTTATTCCACGAATTCAGAGGAAATTTGTCAGTGGAATACACTGCCATTATTAGACCTTTTCAGTTAAGCTGACACTTTGCACCAGCAATAAATCATGTAAACTCGTCTCCATGTTAGAGATAAGCGATTTTGATCGATCTTATAAAGATCGATCGATTTCTTAGATAAAAAATCAATTTTTTGTAGAATTTTTTAATAACATTTTTCGGCATAATGCTAAATTTATCTGTGTTCTAATTCACTAACTTTGTCAGCCCTTTCGCTTAGAGAGAATATGCTTTCTTACATCTTAGATTTCCAAATCAGAAAGTTTCGACTAATCAGAGGATTCCCTTAGCCCTATGTATATGCTTTAATTGTTCAGAATTTTCTCATAAAACATCTTATCAAGTGAGAAGGCTGACAAGATTAGTAAATTGGGCCCCTAGGAGGCCTAAAAATTTTGCTAACAAAATTCTATAGTTATAAAATAAACATAACTTTGTTTCAGTTTTGGAGCATTCCAGTAATTAAATGGATGTAGTAATACTTCTGAAATGGTATTCAAAAGCACGCCTTACTCTTAATATGAGCAAATTTTTTAACCCCATTATAATTATATAGAATAATGAATAGATTTTTTCAAAAAAAAAAAAAAAAAATCGATTTTTCTGTCTTCGATTTTTTAATTTATCATTTTTGTTTTGATCAATTTTAGATGATCCATTTTTTTCCAAATCGCCCATCCCTACTCTATGTAGCCTTTTCCCGTGAGAAGACTAAGTCAGCGCTATCAGCCAAATCATCGAATCCAGATTAATTAGCATTCTCAAAGAAGCCTCATGATTCCAGGACAACTAATAGTATCGAATATGCTTATCTCCACTTAAACCCTACCACTGGTTTGCATTTAAATAGACCTGAAGTCCTGTGGGGCAAGAAAAAATCTGAAACTATACTTAAGGTAGATTTGAGGAAAAAAAAATCGCCCTAAATAGTCAGAGTTTAAAGGAAATTTCTGTTAAGGAATACAGCATCATAAAAATCTGTATTCAACGGATCTGCATCTGACCCACGACGAGTGGAACAGTTTTGCTTCGATACTTAACATGCCCACCACAGAGCCAACACCACTTTTCTTTCACGTTAATCATCTAAAAAACTTCATTCAATAACGAGTTATGCGATGTACTATATGTGTGTTATGTATGAATTGATCATTTTGAATACTATCCTTGATATATTGCTTTGGTCCTGGTTAAAACATTTATCAGATGATACAAGGATTTTTTTGGGGCATACTATTGATATTGCTAATGAACAAAAAAGGTCAGTTATTTTTCAATTGTACATTATCAATGTAATAGAGACTAGAGAATTATAAAAATAGATATACAATAATTAATTATTCAAATTACTTACTCTAATGGAATTCTTCAAAGTTTCAGCCTCTTGGCGCAAAGCATCCAACTCATTCATGACAAAGCCGCTAATGTTAATGAAAACTAGTACCGTTATAAAGCTTTGCGTTAATTATGCTTTTTAGTTCAGTTTACTGATTACTAAGAGATGACCAGTGTGGGCAGTGTTTATTTATTTTCGTAAAAAAAGGTACTTCTAACACAGTACTTGACTTAATTGCACCTGAAAAACAATATCACGATATAAATTATCATATTTATTCAAAATTGACGTTTATATGCTCATAAAATTTATTTATAGACAACAATTACTAATTAATAATTCGATTCATCTGAAAAATTAATAATGCTGTCACATACAGTAAGTTATACGCCAGTCTAAATAAAGTAATGCTAAAAAATAAGAGAAAAGTACTTAACAGGAGAAGATCCAAAAGAATGTGAAAAAACCAGTAAACTTGGCTACATAAGTACTAAGTTATGATATTCTATAGAACACAACGTGTATATATATATAATAGTGCTTTACGTCCAGCTTCAATTAAGGGCACTAATATGGGCACTTAGCACTTGGGAGAGGGAAGGGAGGCCACCCAATGTAGAGAGGGGGGTAGAGATCAGTAGGCAATTTTGCTGTGAGAAGCTCGCCCATTCCTTCCACGAGGAACACTGCGTGGTGAAAAAACACATGAGAAAATTCAGAGGTACTTGCTCGTATACGTCACACTGGCCAACTATGGTCTCCAAGTGCTATCCCACGATCCAGCCAACCGGGCTATCACGCACTCCAATAAATATAAATATACCTTTTACAAAACGATATCAATACAACAATTTTACGTAAAAGAGACAACTTGGATCTATCCAATACCGCTTTTACTTCATTTGATGACATCTGGTGTATATAGGTGTATTACTAGTGCTTAAACTGTCCTCAATTACTACAGGTTTTTATTAATCGTAATTGCAATGTGCTTAACTTCAAATGTACTAGTGAATACCCTTTGTGAGTACACATTGTACACTCTGGTAAAATATGTCAGTTTTTGCACAACTATTGTTTATCGCAAAAACAACTACTTTTTGTAATACACATTATTTTAACAGTTTATGAACATTACTATGAAATTATCGATCAAGTCATTATAATGAATCTTCCAACTTTTTTAACAAATAAGTGATTTATCATAATACAATAACAAAACATATTACAATCTGTAAAATATGAACCTGCAAAAAAATTACAATTATTTTTTCTGTTAAACGTATGGTAAAAGAGCAATATAAATTAACAGTCATAGGAATGAAGTAATGTTTCTTTTGTTAATGTTTTAGTTCATAAAAATATTACTCTTTCGTTTCAGTTACTTGTGGTACATCAATAAAATGACAAACAATATTAATCTAGAACTAGAATTTTTATTTCATCGGCCTTTAGACAAGTTAATTACAAACTTAACAATTTAACAGAATCATTTATTCATGAAATATGCCCTCAGGCAATCAAACATCTGCGTTTAAAAATTTATTATTATTTATTAATGAAATGTGTTCTTATGTAGGCGAATAAGCGACTTATCTCTTCGTTTGTTTTATTTATTATAAAATTTTACCCTTATGCGAGCAAGCATCGGCGATTAGAAACTGGACTAATTTTTAGTATTATGTATTCGTAAGAAAGCAAGCATCGGCAATTAGCAGCCCGACACTTCAATAGCATTGTCAACAAACAAAATATATTTTTGAACGAGTAAGCATCAACGATTATTAACCTAACTTTTAACTATTTTTGAGTACTATTTATAAATAAAACGTTCCCTTAGCCGAACAAGCATTATCTTTTTAAAACCATACTGTTTTTCAGTATTATGTTATGATAAAATATACTGCTAAGCGAGCAAGCATCGGCAATAAGAAACTTCTTGAAAAACTTAGCTGTGTTTCAATCAGTAAAGTTAATAAACAAAATATATTCTCAGATAAGCAAGTATCGGTGATAACCATCCTAACGGACTTTTAGTATAATTAATTAAGAAAAAATATTATTAGGGATACAAGCATCAATGATTATTAACCTGACGGTTGTTTTCGACGAGCAAGCATCGACAATTAGAAACCCAACTGTCTTTAAGTCTAGTAAATAAACAAGTAAGACCTTGGCCTACAGAGAATCAGCGATTAGAAACCCTACTAATTTTAGGTATTATCTACTAAAAAAAGTGCCTTTAGGCAACCAAATATTGGCAATCAATAACTGAACTGTTTTTAAGTATTTTTTTTTTTTTTAATGAAATGTGGTTGGAGGCAAGCAATCATTGGTGATGAGTCACTTAATTTTAGCTAAGTAGACTAACAGAATAATTCCTCAGGCAAATCAGCATCGGCGATAACTAACTCTAATATTTTTCAGTATTATATATCAATAAAATATGATTTTAATTAGGCAACAAATATTAGCAATTAGTAACCTAACAGATTATTAATATTATTTTTATTTTTTATCTGAATTACTTATTTCATACTCCAACCCTTTCGGGTTTGGAGGGCTTCCATTACAGTTCTTACAACTTTGCATATTCTATAATATGAATACTATTAAATGTTCATCTTTTCTCTTTTATGTTTCTATAAACAAAATAAAATACAATGTAATTAAATTATAACTATAAACAAAACTAAATTAAATTGAACAGTAAAAATTTATAGTTCATCATAAACAAATCTAAAAAAAATTTTTTTTTTTCTTTAAAAACAGGACTATATTCAGTACCACTATTTATATTGTCTGTTACAGTCATCTTTTACCACCACCTTTTCCCACTTTTCACTTTCTTCTCTTTTTTTTCTAGCTTCTTTATTTCATTGTTTAAATAATTTTCTGACATCTTCTTTGAGTTGATTTCATACTTTATTTCAATTCTCTTTGGTATTCGCACTTAAAGCTTCAATTCCTCCACTTTAGAATTTCTTTTTTTAGCCTAACCACACTTCTTAAAACTTTTATTTCCTTTGCATCTTGGCTTAAAACTTCTTCTATCTCTTTTCCACTCTTTTTTTTTCATATATCCTCAGTATGAGTATGTGGTCCTCTTTTTACATCTGACACAGTCTATACATCTTGTCTTTCTCTTCTTTCCAGTATTCTTTCTTTTTACACTCATTTCCGCAACTAAATCTTGCCAACAGCCTCCTATCTTTACTTGTAACATCCTTTTTCAGGTACTCTGATTCTTCCTCTGTTTTTATGTATCCATATATCTTGTTGTATTTGTTGGTTTTTTGCTGGCCATTATTTTTTCTCTTATTTCCTCCTTAAATTCTACTCCTTTCATGTATCTTGTTTCTTTTACACTTTCTTCTTTTAGAATTTTTAGTGTTTTCTTTCATCCTTTCCCAATATTCATTCTTACTTTGTCCTTGTCTTTGTCTCTTGTACCTTCTTTCACTAATTTTATATTTGAGTCACTGGTTTTTTCTTTAAACTTCAGCGCTTTTCTTAATGCTTTTATTTTTAGCTTCTTTATTTTACACTCTTCTTCCACTATGTAATTTGGGGTGTTACTATCTAATACTAGTATGCACTTTAAGCATCGTTTTGCACACTTTCTAGCCTCTTATCTTCTTCCTAGCCCCATATCTCTGCTTCAAATAGTGCTACACTTTCCACAAGTGCTGTAAGAAGTTTCTTTCTCCTGTTATTACTGTTCTTAAATATCCTCTCACCTATACTCCATGCACTCTCCATAGCAATTATTGCTTTACTTTTTCTCTCTTCCATGTGTCTTTCACTGGTGCTATTCTTCTGTAGAATGTATCCAAGATATCTTGTTTTTTGTTCTTCTTCTAAATCTTTTTATTCCCACTTCCATACTCTGTTTTTCTTCTTTCTTTTTCCATCACTAGAATTTTAGTTTCTGTTTCACTTACGATCATTTTCTTCTTTTCAATGTACTTTTAACATCTTTCTGACATTTCCTTTAATTTTACTTTCCTGTCAGCTATTAGCACGATGTCATCTGCATACGAAAGGCACCATACTTTCTCATTTCCTATACTACATCCTCTTACTTGCCCTTTTTTCAGCTCTTCCTTCAGGTCTGCCAAGTATACGTTGAAAAGAATTAGGCTCAAGGGACACCCCTGTCTCACTCCTTTTTCAGTCCAAAATTCCTCTGATATTTCTTCTTCTGTTTTAACTACATTCCTTGTTTTTTCTTTACACTCCTTCCTTCTTTATAAATATTCATAATTCTATTTTTTAATTTTTCACTCACCTCCATCTCTACTAGTCTTTCTCCTAGTACATCTCTACCTACCCGATCAAAAGCTTCTTTAAGATCGATAAAGCATGCAGCAACCTTTTTTTTGTTTGCTTAGTCTTTCCTCTACTAAATGATTAAGCGTATAAATTGCTTCTATTACTCCTCTCCCTTCCCTAAATGAATTGACTCTTTGGTAATTTTTTTTTTAATTTCTTTCCTAAACAATGCGTTTAGCATACTAGCGTATATCTTATGTGCTGTGCAAGTTAGTGTTACTCCTCTGTAATTATCCAGCTTATCCTTATCTCCTTTCTTGTGTATTGGATAAATTACTCCAGTTCTCCATTGTTCCAGCATTTGTCTTTTTTCCCATAATTTTTTCATCAACTGCCATACAGCTGTCTCTAACTCTTTTGGCATATATTTCCAGATCTCATTTTCCAGTTTGTAATCTCCTGCTGCTTTCTTCAGTTTCAACTTGTTGATTTGTATTCTAAATTCTTCTTGCTCTTCTGTGGTAACACTTGAGATCACTTCTTTTTTTGTTGATTCTTCTAGTACCATTACTCCTTCATTCTTACCACCCAACTTTTCCATGAAATGTAATCTCCAATCCTGTCATTTTATCTTTCTATTTATTCCTTCTTTCCTTTCTCTGAAACTGTTTGTATACTTCCACATTCCTCCTTCCAATGTTGCTTTCCTCAATATTTCCTCTTCATTTCTTTGCAACCTTGTCCTTTTTGCTTCGCACCCATTTCTGTATTCTCTTTTTTCTTATAGTATAATCACTTTCTGTTTGCTCCATAGTTTCATTGCCTTCCTTAACTCTTTTTTTTAGCTTTTCATTTTTTGTCATACCATCTCCTTTCTCCCAATTTCAATGTTTTTATCTTTTTTTTTAACCTTAGGCACAGATCTTTCCACCATTTCTTTTATTTTCCTCCATCTTTCATTTACT